GATCAAAGACCTAACGGTTATTATCCGGACATACCGACAGTGTCGAACACATCCCGACCTATAGACGAACATAAACAGCCAATAATGAGTGATATAAGAAAAGGCATTTTGAATAGCCAATCAGAAAGCGGCTTAGTTCAGCCAACGCCAGGGTCATCTCCCCGACGACCGCCATCTTGAAAAGGAGTCGGCCGAGATGGCCCTGGGGACGAGGTTGTACATCACAGTGAGTATTGCTACTGAAAACTACAGACTTTATATCACTAACTAATACAGAGCCATATCTACGTTACAAGTCAATATAATCCACTCTTATATCTCACCTCCAAAGTAACTCCCAGTTGGTGTACACATTCTCCACTGTCCCTGGAACATTCCAGTCATATTAGGYGCTATCATATTTATACTGACATCTGTAGTAGTACCAGGCTCTAGTGGCTCAACTTGGACYGCAGAGATTGGTCCTAGTTGATCTCCACTTGTAAACTTTAAGAAGACACCACTTGGCCACCTATTTATACCTAAAAGCAAATAACTCTTATTTCAACAACATTTTATATCCAAATAGATTAAGTTAGGTCAAGAAAAACTGGATATAGTCGATTGACAAAAGGTTGTTGTCAACCGGACATTGTAGCAGGTGGCCAACTCAAATAGGTTTCTGGGTAAAAATCAATTATTGTAACTGGCAAATTAGGCATGACAACACCTTCTAGTATAGTGTCAATTTGTTTTGGCTTTTATTCTTTTTTTAAGAACTCGAAGACAAACATTGAACAGATGTATTCCCTGTCATGATGGAAAACAATGTGAGATGCAAAAATCAACATTACATGCATGCAAAATTTTAAATTCCCGTGATTTGGAAACTTTTGTCATGCATTATGTGTCAGTTCTTCCAGTCACAAAGGCATTTGAATCTCTTGTCAGGTCATTGATTTTTACCCAGAAACTAGTTCAGGCTATAGTCCCATTTCGTTAAAACTGGTCGACAACAACCTTTTGWCAACTGATTATAATATTTGGCACTTGTTAACTTATTCACAGGCACACTTCTAAAGAACATGACCTCAAGCTGAATATCAATCATCACGAGACAAACACATCTCACACTGTACCATTATTTTGTAGCCTCCATGTCTTCACAAAAGCTGAACTAGGTGGAACAGACTCTCCTTCCCCAATTGTGACGTCACTGACAAATGACATGCTCGGCAGAAGGTCACTGGGGCTGTTGAAGTCATAGTATGCACAGACAGCAGCCTAAAGTAATGACAGAAGTTGTTAAATCTGAATGTGTAAAGCTCAAGTAAATTGTGAAAATCTATTGTCTTTTCACGATTTACTGAGCTTTATGCATGGCGTCTCATCTTAATTCCTTTGTGTGTAAACTATTGATGCAAAATTCGCAAGTTGCCTACTAWGACTGTGCACTTCAATGAAAAAAGCAGTGATGGGCTTCCTGTTTACTTTCTTGAGGAGGACTGGGCAACAATCATGATGGAAACTTCAAATTATTATTATTATTACATCTAATGGGTGCTATCTTGAATTCCACTCTTACAGTTATATTTTTGTGCTTGAATTTATCAGATGCCCAAAGCAAAAGCCTAAAAAATTAAAAAAATTGTATTGTTCCCAGTATTTAGTAAGACAATTAGATCTATCACATRTTTAAATTAGAAAAAGACTTGCATRCATGGGCAAYATATATTACGAGCATGTTGACAGTAATCCTAAATGCGAGTCTATGCAAGACCTCACAGCTCAAGCAATGTTACCATTTAGACATCCTATAATTTTAAGCTCTAATTCAATCATACTCGTGTAATTTCTTTTGCAGGTCTTTTATAAATCAATTTGTTATCTAAAATGTACAAAATTAAATGATACCCAATGTGAAAATAAAACTAGAAAATGTATGAAGAAAGAGAAGTAGCACTTTTAACCCTTGACAATGAATAATTCAATGAATTTTGTTATGAAAACGGAAAACAAAACTGTTGTGTTTAGGAATTAAAAAAATACTTGATGTTATTAGAGTTCATATCTAAAATTAACTWTTATTTTTGTTTACAATTTCAACAYCTCGTGCACCTCGTCTACAAATTGCTCAAAGCAACATAAAGTTTATAAAGATAAATTTTAGAAGACGTCGGTGAAGGGGTCTGATGTTAAACTATTTGGTAATTCATGTACCTGTTGACCTAAGAGAATTGCCACCAGTTATGCGGATTTGACCACGGAAAATCTCTTAYTACTAGACCTTTGTCGTTTGTACAACAAAACTTGACGCCTTTAGACTATGTTTACACAATTTATATCTCAGAAGCATAACAATTAATGCGTGAATTTTAAAAATTAGATATTCATTAACAGTAAACGAAATACACAAACGATTAGAAATTAAGCTTACCTGAAGGTTCCTGCGGAAATCCAACCAATTCATAAAATGCAAAAAAATTGATATACGATTAATAATGTCAACAAACTTTTGCTCACATAAGATGCTGCAATAATTGACGGACTATTATATTAAATAGTTAAATGGATAAGCTGTAGCTTACCAGTTTGCTAAATCGAGAAAGAACGCACAGCCTGCTTGGTTGAGTTGGTAGTCCAGAACTCGTTGCAGTTCGCTTATCAGAACTTCACGATCTGTAGTGCCTAAGCTACTGAATTTTAGCATAAGATCTTGGTCTACATCGCAGTCCACGTCCATAGTGAAATGTCCTCCGTACAAAGAAAACTCTATAAGCAATTTAAAGTAAAACTACAACGATTTTTCCAGCTTTTTCTAACGTTCCAATTCGAACGAATATTATTTTGGAGCGTCCAACGAAACCTGTGACGTCAGGACTTTTAGCTGAAATCTCTGACCCGATATTTAGCTGGCTCATCTTTGAAACCACTAGGGGAGGGGTAAGAAGAAGTATTTTCAACCACAAATTATTTTAACTTGAAGCTTTAAACCCTTAAATTTATGCATGAAATGCAGTCTTCAATCCACTATTTCATCATATTAACAGGTGTTTTGAAAATATACCTGAAAATAATGCTTAAAATCCAGAAAGTTGAGTTTTATTTTGCAAGGGGAGTCACTAGTTCCAGTCCTTCTCAAAAAACACACAGGTGTTTTCMACTTGGGACGCCTGTGGTTTTTTCGCCATGCTTCGCTCGTCTTGTGACATTTTTGCGATTTTTTGATGAAAATATTCAACGATGGAGCGTGGTTTTGAGCAAGAAAACTTGTACACAATCTCTAAACATGCAGCAGAATTCAAAACTAAGGTAAAATGTAAAAKTTTGGTCGATTTTTAGTCGTATTTTCATCGATCTTATAATGTTTTGAATTTGAGTATGATAAGCTTGTATTTTCTTGAAATTTGTCGGACTTGGACCTTAAAGGAGTTTCTAAACTTCATATTGTAGGACGTCAAAATAATTTCAACTTTGTTTTGCTCTTATATCGATTGAATAAGCTATATCATTCGATCTTTTTTCTATAAGCTTGTATCTATTTATTCATATGTTTTTGTACATATTTTACAAAGATTTAAGCTTACATTTGATTATTTATTGGTTTAACAGGTGAAAGTTCTTATTGATAATGAAGAAGAGAAGATAGCACTTTTTAACGCTTTGAAATCCTATCACGAGTAAGCTATTAAGTAAATACTTCTGTTGATTAAGTTATAAGCTTGACATTTTTTTTCATTGGCTGAATAAAGAAATATGTCTGGAAGCACAGCCTTGTCTGGGCAAGATTTTTAGCCTAGTCCACACGATTTTGYGCAAAAACATGAATAGAAACTTGATCTCTGTCATTGTGTGCTGGAATTCTTCGTTCGGATTTGTCTAATAGATAATCAGGATAATTAAAGGGACACTGTCAATGGCACGCATGCGCGAGTAAACTTGAAAACACTAGGCTAGTGTTTTCAAGTTGGCACGACATAAATCAGCTTGTAAACGTAAACAGATCTAGAATATTCCAAAGTGTGTCAAAAGCACCACAAAATGATTTACCTCGAAGGTTATAGTTTCAAAGTCCATTAGAGGTGAGACTGTTACTGCGCATGTCATCCATTGACAGTGTCCCTTTAAGGCTGTTTCATTGACATAACCGCTACTTTTGCT